GTTGAATATTTTCATATACTTCAGGGATTGTATTGAACAAGTACCAAAAATCCAAGGACTACATTCAAGAAATCAAAAGTTTAAGAATCATATTGAACATTAAGCTAAAGTTTAGGGACTACATTGAACAATAGGTTAAAGTTTAGAGATTACATTAAATAAATTAAAAATTCAGAAACCACATTACACATTGAGCCAAAGTTCAAGAATTGTTGGTGTCATTATCCTCTTTTCTATTTATCAAGTTCCTCTTTTGGTATCCGAAGTCAATTTGCAATCATAATTACAGGACAAACCAGGTCTTTGCTCCTAAAGATTAGTCCAAATATATATATAAGCCCAATCATTCAAATCTAGATCGTGAACGAAAAGAAAAGATAAGTCTCCTATGTAGGATCGATTATATCCCTTTCCCATATTTCGATATCAGCAAAAAGGGAAAAAAAACGATTAAATTCGCTGAGATGAATGCTAAAATGAGGAGAATTATATCATAGTTGAGCTACGCAGGGCGGGGGTGTTCGGAGATTCCGCCCTACCTCGGGAGTTTTATCCCGATTCCCGGCCCGTGCCCCCCGTCGAGGGAGGCGGATTTGATCGGACCGTGAGGACGAGTTCTTTTCTTCTTCTTTTTCCTCTTCTTGCTTTATTTTTGTTTTGGCAATTCATGTTGGCGGCTTTTCAAGAGATAGGCCTCAACTTTTGCGGAATTTCATTCTTTTTTTTCCCCTCATTATTGTCGATGTTTGATGGTCTCCAATCAAGCACATTGCAACTCCTGATGTTGATCCCTTTTAAATTCATTGTGAGATGAATCATCCTCCTTGCGTGCTAGCAAACTCTAGCTTGAGTACTTAAACCACCTTTTGCTTTGTCCTCCCGGCAGGCAATCGACTCGACTTGTGACACAAATGATTTTTTGAACTGTGGCTCAACGTGCAATATCATCAATTAACTTTTAATTTGCTCAATTTGATCACTGAACTTTAATTAATATGTAATGTCGTTCCTAAACTTTTAATTTGTTACTTTTGACACATGTTCAATATAATTAGATTTAGTCCTTGGATTATTTAGTGTATGGACTAATTGAGCATGGACTTTTAAGTACATGTTCATCTATTCAATTAGTCACCGGATTAAAATTTCGAAGACTACGTTACAAATCAGACAAAAGTTCAGAGATCATTTCGTATCATCTTCCACGAAAAAGTACATTACTCAAATGCGAAAGCACCAAATTGAGTCGATCAACACGCCAATCGCGTGAATCTCACGAGAGCCTCGCGTACCAAAGGCTTTCATGATCAACGGCTCCGATGGATCCGGCTCGGGAACACGAGAAATTGCATTTTCTCGATTTCGTGTGGACAATTGAATTCGGGGTTGTGCTTGCGTGGGGGGATTTGTCTGGACACGAAGACACCCCAGTTTGTCGAGTCAAGGAACTGAGAAAGGGAGAAGGACAAAACATACGACCAATGACACGTGGCGGAAGGCTTCGGCAGTTCACGGGGGCCAGCGCACGTCGCATCGGTCAGTGGGGCCCCCGCACGTGCTCCTTTGCCCCAGCTCGCGTGGTGACGTGTCTGCTTTCTGGTTTTCTTCCCGGTCTACGCGCAAGATCGGGACCGCGGAGTTGGAGCCGCCCCGTCGCGAGCCGTCCAGATTGACACGTCGGATCGGCCCCCACCTCCCCCCACCTGCCAAAAACATGCCTATCCCTCCTCGCTTGTCGAAGAGAGTATGTCTGTTTTGTCCCGTAGAAGTATATGCCAATTCATCATTACATTCGTCTCAAAATTAAATTAATACACTTATGATAAATTTATTTAAAATTAATTTTTAATCACAAAAATCTCAAATCAGTATATGTATAAAAAATTTACCATCTATTAAATTAGATTAATATCACGAAAAACCGACAACTATCACGTATTATCCAACTCGGTAATTTAACTGTAAAATTTCAATAGAAACAAACAGATGGTAAATTTATCAAGGTTGTATCAGTTTGGGGTTTTTAGCGGTCAAAAAGTTAATTTTGGATTAATCTGTCACATGTGTATCAGTTTAGGATTTTTCGTGATATTACTCATTCTCGTTATTTCGATTTTAGTAGGGAGGATGCGGTCCATCATCAATGCAATAGATTTGCGAAGTTGTACGAGCGATTATTTTCATTAAAAGATGTGAATATTTAATAAATTAGTGGCGTGCATTCCCCATAAAATAGGTAGATATATAGATGAATACACGGACATTTACATTGTTGGTAAAATTAGTCGGTCGTGTCAATCAGAGCATTTCAAAAGGGGATGGATTTTAGATGATGACACATTTATTTTTGCTCTCTACATATTAAAATTAGTCGATCGTGTCAATCAGAGCATTTCAAAAGCGGATGGCTTTTAAATGATGACACATTTATTTTTGCTCTCTACATATTTTTCACTAGCAAGCTTTTTATTATTTATTTATTTATTTAGTAATACAGCCTTCAGAGAGAAGACGGCCTATATCTTGTGTTATAACCAAATTCCATCCAAAAACTTAGCCGACTTTCTTTCCATTTTTAAAAAGGAATTTTCGTGTTCCTTTGACCTGTCGCGTGACATCTCTCGATTGGACAAAGTCTAATCAAACTAAATGTAGCTAAAATTATGACATTAAACAATAATTCTAGCTAAGCTTGTTGGCATCTCCAAACTTTCATTTTCTAATATCAAGATGTGGTGATGACAAAGCAGTTCATAATATTAAACGGCCCTACGATTCCGTTGCTGGCACGCCAAAAAAAAAGGGCAAAAATTTTCAATTAGGCCCATTTATAGAGCCTACTTCCTCAAAATGCCCCCATGTAATTGATTTTCTCTCAATAAAGTCTCTCCGGTTGACAAATGTGAATCAATTAGCCACGTCAGTGAGAAAAGTGGCCAGCTCACATAGGGTGATGTTTGGTTCTTCTCGGCACTGTAATAGTTTGTGCTTAGGTGTGGAATAGTGAGATTTATTAACTTGGTATAAGCATCACCAGTTTTGAGAAGAAGTGCTTGAGTATAAGCAGCACGCTCTACTGTATATTCTAAGAGATTACTAGTGAAATTTAGCCAGTAAATTGTTAGTTTAGGAGAGTGAGCATAAGTTGCAAATCATTATAAAGATCTGAGTGCATCGTTTTCTATCTCTCTACTTATTTTCATTAATTGCTTGATAGAAGCGCATTGCACTGCTTGAACTAGTTTTTGCTTACATCAACACACTATTTTACTCAGTCACGCTTATATCAAACTTGATGCTTTTAATTTCGCATTTTTTGGTCAAATTTCTCAAAATCACCTATTCGCCTCATCTAGCTAATACTGTTAGCCAACATCAGCATCTTTAGGTTTTCAGACTTTGTCGTTGATATATAGTTTATGCACGTTTGGTTCCATAGAAGTGACTAAGTCCGCAGGCTTTGTCGTCGATTAAATTCCAGCACAATTTCTTTACATTTAGTTCCGTTTGGAGCGAAGCTATGGATTTTCTTCTTTAATGGTGATATTCTCTGCTCGGAATCACCACAAAATCTGTCTCCTCTAATAAAATCGAAGAACGACTTTCGATGGAAAGATATTTTGTCGCGAAGTCGAGTTTCGGTCAGACCCTCATGGTTCCTAGTTGACGACGATGTCCTCGTGCAATCACGTTCTCTCCATGTTTAGGGTTTTCCGATTTTAAATTCTCTATGCAATCTTATTTTGGTTTGAACAAAAACGCCCCTACCTACCCGGACCATCCACCACGCGAGCTGCGCATGCATCTCGGCTAGCCACTTTTTCTCACCGGCACTTCGCCGACGGGGCCAATCGATTCTCGTTTGTCGAGCGCACGGGGGTTCTTTCGAGACAAAACAAAGTATAAGGGGGGGTATCTAACGAAATTGGGTCGAATTCAATGGGGTCGAATTCAAAGTTTCCCCCACCAAAATGATAGCAAAAGACCCAAAAACAAGAAGAAAATTTTGGTTTCACACAAAAGACACGAGCTATCCAAGTAGGCTCCTACCAAGTCCTTACAGATCAAAACGGGAGCGCCCATGTTGGACTCCCTTCAACCCCATTTGCGGAAAGCAAAAAGCTCATATGACTCCCATCCAAATTTTATAATCAACTTCCCTTAGAGAGGTCACTTGGATTTTATCTATTCGCCGGAGGGAATAAGGCCGTCCTTGTGATGATGACCCCAAACCGACTCACCTCATCTGCCCTTCTTGTCCTGCCCTTGGAATATCATATTTGGGTACACGAAAGACACGGTTGGACTTCGCCTCCAAAACCTCATTCGATAATAAAATAGTTGCCCCTTTGGCTCATTGTTTTCTCTTTGGTGTTGAAGAGTGCCCCCGTGAGACGGAAAGCAAAACTTGTTTTCGCAAAGCTTGAGATCACTTTCTTTAGTCCCTTTGTATTCCCAAACGGACAAAGGGCTCGGACGAATAATAAGCATCTCACTAGGGGATCCGACTGTTTATTTTAATCTCCTCGTCAGGGTCGGATCTACGCAGCCATGTGATTTGGACGTGGGGTGTTTGATCACGTGACTCGATGGATTTGAAACAAAAACGCCGTCATTTCAAATCCCGATCTGAAGTGTTCCGGAGAAAAAATTTAAATTTTTTTGATCGAGTGGTTAAGCGCTTAATTTGAACACGGGTACGCTCCGCGTTTCAATGCTCGGGAGACGTTTGGACGGGGTGGAAATCCGCGTATGTCGGCTTTAGATTGATCTGGTTAAAAAGTTTCGGGCATGCGTATTTGTAAGGGGTAATTGTGGGAAAAGTTTAGATGACAAAGAAATAAATGCCAAAGAGAAAAAAGAAAAGGATTGAATAAATGCCAAAAGCAACCCCATTTGAGCAGCCCATATGCAATGTGGATATCCCCACTAAAACGAACGTTCCCCATCTTCTCCCTCACCTATCTTCCCAAATTCCGAACCGATTCAGAGCCTCATTTCACTCCAACGCACCCCTCTCTCTCTCTCTCTCTCTCTGTATCTCTGTGTCTCTCTTTCTCTTCTGTGATTCTTCGTTGGCTTCCTAATAAAAATCTGCCGAGCCCTGCGCAGTCGGGCCAGCGTGGTAACGCCTGGTATCATCACCATCCTCTTCAGCTCCTCCCCTCTCTCTCTCTGCCTCTGCCTCTGTTTCTGCCTCTGTTTCTGCCTTTCTCTCTCTCTCTGTTCCCACCACCATCCCTCAAAACCTCTCCGACGGCGGCCGCCGCCGCCGCCATGAACCTCCTCCTCTCCCCCTGAAGCCTGCCTGGTAGCAGGGGGATCCCCGGGGGAGCCGAAGAGGGAACGGAAGCTCCTATATTTTCGCTCTTTCAAGGTTGCGTTGATTTCATGCCGGATTTGTAACGGCCGATCGGTTTTCTTGCGAAATCTCGATCACCCACATCGTGATTTCTCCTGGGGGGGAGGACGGGCCCCGCGGAAGGCCGATCGCCCGCGACATGACTCGCCAGATCGTGCTGCGGCCGCCGTCGGTGAGCCGCCGGGAGCCGCTGCTGAGGGCGAGCAAGTCGACCTCCTCGTCCGCCTCCTCCTCCTCCTCCTCCCGCGGCGGCGGCGTCGGCGGCGGGGGGAGCGGCGTCCGGTTCGCGGAGGTGGCGGGGGGGACGGCGGCGGAGTGCGCGGTGGTGTGCTGCTGCTGCCCCTGCGGGATCGTGAACCTGATACTGCTGGCGGTGTACAAGGTGCCGGCCGGGCTGTGCCGCCGCGCGTGGAGGAGGACGCGGCGGAAGAGGCTGATCAAGAAGGGGCTGCTGTCGCCCAAGGGGCGGAGGCTGACGTGCGGGTGCGAGGAGAAGGAGCTCCAGATCCACCCGTTCGCGGTGAACGAGGCGATGGCGGAGATGAAGAGGCCCGCCGCCGAGGACGAGGAGGTGGACAAGCAGGTGGCCAAGCTCGAGAAGGAGATGTGGGAGAGGTTCTACGGCACCGGCTTCTGGAGGAGCCCTTCTCAGCGCGAGCCCCAGTCGGCTCAGTGCTATTGAATTCGACCCCGTTACATGAAGGGCGAATTTCGAAACAATTCCAAGAAAAAGACCACCACACAAACAAGAAAATGTTTCGAGCTTGGCATTGGCGATGGGGACGGCAATGGCAGAGCGATGCTCGCTCAAGTCGGAGTTCGAAAGGACGCGAGAGGCAACGGACCTCCGGGACCGGACGGCGGTTGGGTCGATTAGGAACAGAGGATTTATCGTGTGTACATGATAATTTGAATGATCAGGAATTGGCCCTGTTCTTCTTCTGAATCTCTCAACTCCCACCATTATTATGCGATTTGGTTCTTTGGTGTGAACAAAGGTGCATTTCGTTCTGGTCTTTGGTTTTGACTTTTCGCATTTATCGAGATCGAAACGGCCAATGAATGTGTGTATATATTATAAGCATTGCATATCTATGTATGAGATAAATATGATATGGTAAATAACATGTGCGGTTATATAGTACTTAACGTTCTAGGGGTTTTGACCGCTTCTGTCTACCGGAGTTGAATTTGTTCTACACGGATGTGATGCTGCGGTGATCTTTGATCCACGATCAGTAGTACAGCTAAGGAGGAAAGAAAGTGAGTAAGAAGTCAGAGATTTCTAGAGAAATAGGTCCATAGGAGGCGGCCGTCGGCCTCCTGAGTCTCGTGAAAACAACGTTTGAGCGAGGTGTTTTGGCAGTGAATTGCTCAGATGGTTCGGGACTCTTCGGATGATAAAGTCAACAAATGTTTGATTATGTTTGAACCAATCTTTTTGATTCGATGGTGTTGTTTTCGCTGGCCAAGTGCTTGAACTTGTGCCCTCTTTTCGTCTGTGTGAACCCGTCTCGCGTCGGCGATTGGGTCTGTAGTCTTAATCTCGCGGAGTTACGCATTAAAGTTCGCTTCTGCATCTTCAAATCAATTATGGAGGGAGACTGCGGCGACCCTGGAGTTCTTCATGGGGGCTAACTAGAATCTCGTGGCCTATGTTGTTCCGACTTTCCCTTTCTTAAGATGCATGGAGCGAACCGAGCGTCGCCGAAACTCGGCAGCCTTTTCACACATTAGGAGCTTTCGATCAGGGCTCCTCGGGAATCCAATTCAAGTGTTTGATGATGCCTGTGTAAATGAGATGAGAAGAAGCTCCAGGGGAGTCAATCAACCCACTGTGGACGTGTGGAGTACAAAATGAGATGTTTTGCTGGGAAAGGCCCGCTCTGTTTCCTTTGAAATGTATGTTGATGTTGATATCTCACAAACCAGTGGCCCCAGCTTCAATTTTTTGCCTTCTTTGTATCTTTCTCTTCCTTTGTTTTAGTTTTTAATTCTAATAGATTTTGTGATATTAACTCCAGGTACTTCAGATCTGCAGAGCAACAGGGCGTGTAAGCTGTCAATTTCACTCAATGAACATAGGGGGTCCCCTGTTCAGACATGTCCTTAGACACGTGTGGGGAAATCCTTTTTGGCCTGTGACTTTCAGTGGAGTGAATGATGCAACTTGCTCTCCCCTGCCTCATTTTGTTTTTCCAGTTACACGAGCCAGACTTCAGCTCATGTTTTAGTGATAATAGCAAAAATGATCCTTGAATTTAAGTCTAATGTGCAATATCGTTCCTAAATTTTTTATTTGATAAGTGATTCTTGAAGTTTGGTTCAATGTATAATATTATCCGTAAATTTTCACATTGAACCGAGTTCATGGATCATTTGTATAATTTTTCCTATGTTCTAATGCACATTCCAGTTTGATGGACATGTATGAAAACAATACTGTTCTCCCCGGTTAAGTTCTTTGAAGACGGGACTGACCACTATACATAAAGCATATTGCTTGGAACACTTCCTCTCATTATAAGTGGAGCTCTACACATGAGACATGACCACATCAGAGAGGAGGATAGGATAACAAGCAAGATAACGAGAGTATACAACTGCATAAAACAGCATGAACCATGCTCCTATACCGCTTTAAATTGAAGGAAAAAGCCATAAAAAACTCCTAACTTATGCCTATTGTTACACATTTACCATGAGCTTTTTCCCATGACATAAAAAATCCTAAACTTCTACCTATGCGATATATTTACCCTCCATCAATGTTTCATTATATGATTTTTCAGCCAAAATAACATTATTTTTATTTCATTTAAGCCACGTGAGCGCCATGTCAATACTATTTGCTTTCTGACATCCATATAGGTAGATTTTTAAAGGTTCATATTGACAGAACTTTGACAGAGGGTAGATGTGTCACATATGTACAAGTTTAGGATTTTTGGTGTCACGGAAAAAAAAGTGTAGGGTAAATGTGCCACAGTGAGCATAATTTAGAATTTCTGGTGGCTTTTGCCCTTAACTAAATCATCTTCTACCAAAAACTTAAACTGTCACAAACGTACCAAACGCGTGCGCGAGCGCTTTGGCCACTTCTAATTTGATTCTTGTTTGCCAATAATGTATTCAATGATCACTGTACAAATGCCTATATTCTTAACCATTTACGTAAATTGAGCTCAAACAAGATTTCAGAGAGATCTAATCTTTTGACGGGTATTATCTAACTTTGAAATTTAAAGTGTTGTGTCATTTCATGAAAGGAATAAGGATGCCACGCACATAAAGTAACATTAGCAATTTCGTACGATTATCGTCCGTGGTCAACGAATCAAAGAAGAACCAAATCCTCTTCATACTTCTATTGCCAAGAAAGTAGTTCAAAAACCCACAGTAAAAGTGTCGAACCGAAAGATTTGGAGCAAATCTCATCCGATGAAAAAATCCAAAGTGCAGATGGGAATACATTCCCCCACCAAGTGGACTCCATGTCACATTAACAAAAGTAAGTCCCATCATTAGTCAACAAAGGGATAAGGCCACTATCTACTTTCCAAAGCAAATTTGATTTCCTTTTGATTTAACAGGCCACCTCCATTGAAAAATATTCGAACGAGATCTCGTTCACTATTCGCGATTCGCGTTCACGGGTGATAATTAGGTTTCTTAGTCATGTCGAGCTGTATAATCGAGCTGCCTTATCTTTCTGCTGATTATGCTACAGGACTTGCGCATGTTGAACTAATATCAACATGTATCGCCATCAGACTTGATAGATAATCGAGTTAAAACGTGTCAATTCATGTCAAAAATCGTTAAGACCATAAAACGACATCAACTTTAATCTCTTTGAACATTCATTTTCTCTAGCCAAAAGTGCAAAAGAAAATTACTTTACTTTTGCAAACTCTTCTTTTTTGAGCAAAAAGAAAGAAACTTTCCTGCATGGCCATGAAGAAAATAAGAAAGACTTTTACCTGTTCTATCTCAACACCAACACCTCGTTCTAACTCTGTCCATGTTGTGTACTATGTTAGTGTCTTGTCCCTTCCAGAAATGTTGTTCACACCAGGTGGGCTCGGCCTAATTTGTGATTGCATTACTTTTCCCTCGTAGCTAGATTTAAGAAGTGCTCCACATCTACTTTCATATCTTTTGGACTAATGGGCCTGACAAACCCACGTTGTTCACTGTTGATCATTTCACCTTGAATTTCTTTTCTTCTCTTTTCTTTCTCTCCCTCTTTTGTACCGAAGCTGCCGGATATATTGGGGACCTTACCAACATCAGTGGAATATCCCAAAAAGAGTTCTCTCGTGCCTGTCTTGCCAAATGTTGTTGGGGATTCATGATGAAACATTTTAAGCTAAAACCGAAGCATCCTTTCGCTTTCCAATAGTATTAGGAATGACCAGTAGAAGGCAAGATCCTCTCGGCTGGGCACTCCCTTGGTCTGTGTCTCCAGGCACCACCGGTCGCTAACTTGCTCGACGAAGCATTGTCGGTTTCTAATAGCTAGTTGTCTGCAGACTTTAAATAAATAAAAAAATTCAGGTGGAAGCATGAAGAAAAAATAGACTGTTTATAAAATAGAGAGCTACAAAGATAGGCGTGTAAATTTGTGGAGCATGAGTAAGGCATGGATGAAGAGAAAGCCTATCAGACACCAGCTGCACAGAAACCTGTGTTGAGATTAGAGGTGTCAAAATGGGTCTTAAACCCATATATGACCCATTTAAAAATAAATGGGTCATATATGGGTCACTTTAATTTTAAAGAGTCAACCTTAAATGGGTTTTAAATTTTAAAGCTTAAAGATAAATGGGTCTAAATGGGTTGAGTTTGGAACCCATGTCCAACCCATTTACTAGACCCATCCACACTCTCTCTCTCTTTACAAAAATATTTTTAAAAAATCGAAATTTAATTATTTTTAATTTTTCTCTTTTTCTTTTCTTTTTTCTTTTCTCTTCTTTCTTTTTCTTTTTTTTTTATTTCGGCCGGTGGTCGGCCACAGCCACCGGCCACCGGGGCGGGACAACCTCGCCGGAGGGGGGCGAGGCTCGAGCCTCGCCGATCTAGCGAGACTCAAGCTCGCCGGCCTCGGGCGAGCTCGAGTCTCGCTAGATCGGCGAGGCTGGAGCCTCGCCAGATCGGCGAGAACGAGCTTCGCCGGCCTCCGGCGAGCTCGTTCTCGCCTGGCCGGCAACCGGCGATCGGCCAAAAATAAAGGAAAAAGAAAAAAATAAAAATAAAAATAAAAAATAATTAAAAATTCAATTTAAAAAATTAAAAAAATATTAATTTTTTATTTTCTTAGATAATGACTTTATGGAAAATATTCTCTAGAAATGTCGCATTTTTCGTAAAACAAACAGAACCTCAATTTTAAAAAAAATTATAAAATTTTTTCACTAGCTTTGTATTGCATAAAATGTTTTAGCAGTATAATTTAAAAAAAATCATAAGAAACAAGTATTCCTAGATTAGGTTAAATATAAAAGTGTTTTAGCAATATGGGTCGGGTCGGGTATGGGTCGAGATATTTACACTATGAATAAATGGGTCATAAACGGGTTAATGGGTCAATTTGGGTCGGACCATTTATGACCCGATCCAAACCCAACCCGACCCACCCGTTTAACAGGTCTAGTTGAGATTAAACTTCTATCATTTGCTTACTTTTTCATGATTTTCTCCAGAGGCAAAACCATTACAAGTATAGAGCAGACAGCCACATTATCTTCATGCTCTCTCTTTGACAGTGGAAATGAAAGCACAAGTCACTTCCTAGATTACAAAAAAGAGCCCTCGAATTACTAGTAAGCAAGATAGAATTAAATTGGTTTTTCTTTTCACAACCAAGAGTAGAAGATTCTGAAAACTTTTCATGCGAGGATAGCAATATATCCAATCAATGCAATCTCAATTCACTTGTGATTTCGTGAGATTTTATCAAGACAACGGATAATTCGGATTCAGCATGCAAATTCAAGACTACTTATGATTTCACAGCAATATGTAATCCCAAGGCAGCGTGTGATATCAAAACGGCATATATTCTAAATAGCAGTATGCGATACAAATCAATGTGCAATGTCAGAAGTTCAATCCACATTATTCAAGAGTTACGATCGATGTTAGGGAAACCTTGGTGCTGCATGAAAACCATTCTGGTTCTGTCCAGAACTGGTTTTTTGTTCCCAGAATCAGTTTTGGACCAGAAACCCGTTTGGTAACGCAATTTCATTTTTCTATTTCCGGGACAAGTTTGCTTCCAAAACTGATTCTGAAACCAGAAATGAGAACCAAAAAAAAGTTGGTTTTTCATTTCTGGAACAAAAGTGAGAACCATTTCTGAGGAATTCATTTTCTTCAACACACATATTCATATGGAAGTCACGATCTTTGAGATGAGAAAAAAAAGCAAAAAATAAAAAATTTCAAAACTTAACAGAATGGTTTAGAATGCGTACCCACTTTCGGTGAAATTTTAATTTTTTAGGTACCGAAAAAAATAAATAAAAATAAAAAATTTCAAAATTTCACAAAATGGCTTAGAAAACCTATGGCCACCCACTTTGAGCAAAATTTAATTTTTTTAGTTGCAAAAAAAAAATAAAAAATTCTAAAATTTAAAAACTTCACAGAATATCTTAGAATACCTGTGGCCACCAAATTTGAGCGAAATTTTATTTTTTTAGGTGCCGAAAAAAATAAAAAAAAAAGCAAAAAAATCAAAAATTTCAAAACTTGACAGAATGGCTTAGAATACTTGTGGCCATCCACTTTGAGTGAAATTTAAATTTTTTTAGGTGCTTAAAAAAATAAAAAAAAATAAAAAATTTCAAAACTTCACAGAATAGCTTAAAATACCTGTGGCCACCCACTTTGAGTGAAATTTAAATTTTTTTATATGCCAAAAAAAATAAAAATAAGCAAAAAAGTAAAAATTTCAAAACTTTACATAATGACTTAAAATACCTGTGGCCACCCACTTTGAGCGAAATTTTATTTTTTTAGGTGCCGAAAAAAAGAAAAAAATTTAAAACTTCACAAAATGGCTTAGAATACCTGTGGCCATCAACTTTAAGCGAAATTTTAATTTTTTTAGGTGCGGAAAAAAATAAAAAAATAAAAAATAAAAAAATTCACATAATTGCTTAGAATACCTGTGGCCACCCACTTTGAGTGAAATTTAATTTTTTTTAGGTGTCGAAAAAAAAATAAAAATAAGCAAAAAAGAAAAATTTTCAAAACTTCACAGAGTGG